GATGGTTTAAGTGTAGCTGCTTTTCATCAAAAATGTGATAATATCAATAAAACTCTTGTAGTTGGCAAAATACAAAATTCAAATCAATTAGTAGGAGGTTATAATCCACTTGATTGGAATATAAATAATGGAAATTATATATTTAAAAATACAACTGAAAGTTTTATTTTTAACATTGGTAATAGAAATGATATTAACTCTGCACAGTTTAGTTATGTTATAAAGAATCATGATTGTGCAATTTACTGTCATAATTCATATTTAGCAATGTTTGGTAGGGGTAGTGATTTTTATTTTAGAACAGACAGCACTATTGGTATTAACCATAATAGTAATAATTCTTATAATAACATTAATATAGTAAATAATAGTAAATATGATGAATTAGAAGTATTTCAAATAATTGATAAAAAATAAATTGCAAAAAAAAGTAATTATATTTTAAAGACTATTTCTCTTTAAATTTTTTTATTTACATATGCTACTACCTGGTTGTTCACAAATTTGTAAAAATCTATATATTAATAAATATAAATTTTATATATTCCCAACTGCTTTTTTTTTTATTTATCTAATCAACTATTATTATTAATTGACTAAAGAAAAAAATGTCAATTACTTCTGCTGCTAGTATTATTATTATCACAACATGGACTACGAAGGAAAAACAGAACTGATAAAGAAAATTTTTTTAATTGGCATATACTATTTATTTACATTACTGCTTTATTATTCGGATTCTAAAAATTTTCACGTGATTAAATTAACCATTGTGAATTAACCAAAAAATTTGCGCTTGAATTGTGTACCAGGAGAAAAATGGCAAAAAATATTTGATTATTATTATCTTAAAATAAACAAAATTATAATATAATAAAGCTTTGTTCCGGTTTAGAAAAACGTATCTCTTAAATCATAAGTTTAGTGATCGTGGATTACAAGCATGGAATACAATGCTAAGAGCTGTACAAATATTATTCCTTTCAATAAAGCTAAAATAAATTTTCAATTTGATTATTGGATTTATTTATTTAAGCCAAAATAATTTACATAATTGTTCTTGCCAATTAATATATACAAATTACCATTTTTTATTTCAGTCATTGATCCTAAAACTCGACAAAATAATATTGATTTTTTATATAAATTTGGTTTTTTAAGTGCACATTCCTATAAAATGATGAAACCTTTTGGAGTTGTTTCAAGTAAAGTTTTGGGTTAGATGGATATTGCAAAATATTTTTCGTATGGCACATTACAAGATTCATAATTAATAATGCAATATTTATTTATATGCACAAGCTAATAAAATTTTATTAATTCTATATCAGGAACTAAAAGATCAAACTTATGGGTACAGGTACAAGCATTTAGAAAAACCAGGATTGCCGAAGAAATAAATTTGATGCATTTTTTTCAAACAAAGCCAACGTTTCTATGAGCTCTTATAATGTTGGCCACAAAACTAAGTTACCAACCTATGTTTGCAAGATCAGAAAACTTCTTTATGGAAAAATACATCCAAATGAAATCTTTATGCTTCAATTGCAAAATGATAGGTATAAATATAGAGATGACTTGGGTGAACTGTGTTCAATTTGTGCTGTTTATGGATATAATGTGTTTGAAGATTTAAATAAAGTTGCTAATTGTTTTATAATTTTTTAATCAGAAGGAACATACGTGACAATTAAATCATGACAAGTGTCTTGCTTAGTCATTGTTTACCACATGCTTTTGAATGGTGAACATAATAAATGCATGAAATTCTTAAAATCTCATAACTTTCGTAAAATTGGAAAAATCAGTTACATTATTGCTAGAAAATGAATTGGAGAATATTACTTGGCACATCAAACAAGGAAGGTGTATTTAAATATCTGATTTAGATCTAATTTATTAGAATTGGATAAGAATGGTGCTATAATAATTGTTGATTATAAAATATGAATATTACCAAAAACAGCTCGAGAGACCAAAACTGAATTTTTTGGAAAGCGTGGGTTGACATTACATGTATACCAAAAAATCGAGAAGATAACTGCATATTATCGATCACTGGTTTGATGTTATAAACAAGATCCATGGTTTACGGCATCTTCCTTAAGTACAGTTTTTGGAACAATGTTAAAAACCAAATGGGTAGAATTATTTCTGATAATGGGCCTCTCCATCATTGTCATTATCATTTCCAACTGATGGAGCAACTCTTGATTCAACTTTCTTTCACTGAGTGCAAGCTTTGTGGACAGCTAAATAATCCTTTTTTTAGCATAATAAAACATTCGTTACTTATAACATTTCAAGAAAAATTGAAATTGAAATTTGAAATTGTGTCACAATTAAAAAACCAATGGTTCAATGGTACTATTGTCCGAACTGTTCCGGCACCTCAGTTTCAGTTATTGTTATTTTCTCACCGAGTTAATCTATTACTATCACAAGATAACGTCATGTTTATTATCAATATTAATAATATTATAATTATAATTTCGTAATTGATTACTATTTAAGAATGAGTTTTAGTTTTTTTTCTTGGAAAAAAAAAACTAAATTTTTTATTTGTATTTCTTTCTAATTGAAAATGTGTCAAGGTGATAGATAATAATTGATTATTATTATTGTATTTAAAATTTTAACATATTTACTTGTTTGTTATATTTTCTATTACAGTGAAATTTAATCAAACAGTTTGCACAACACCATATTGTAATCGTCCAATTTACGTTGAACAAAATGGGTAAATAAAAAATAATAACAAATAAATTTTTTAAATAAATTATGATATTTTAATTTTTAAAAATCAGATATAAGCATCCATATTGTTGCTTAACCTGTGCAAGAAATAACGAACGAGCATTAAATGGAGTAGCAATCAGCGGTGATGGATGGAATAATAATTTTACTAAATGCAAGATTCACGAATGCAACAAACCAGTTTTTGTTGATAAATACGGACATCAACATCCATATTGTGGAAGAACTTGTGCAAAAAAAGATACGATAGCAACAAAAAGCCCTGAAATTAATCAAAAAACGAACCAACATTCATTAATTCCATCGTCGCCACCAATTCATTCGATCAAACAATTGCCAGAAAGTCCAACAACAATTGGGGATAATTTATCATCTTCTTCCTCTACACCCCATCATTTTTCTGACCAAAGTCCCTCAAATTATTCTACTCCATCTACTGAAACTCTTGCTTCAGAAGGGTTAGCTGGTGATAACGATATTGAAGATTTTGTTTTACTCGGGGACGAGGAAAAATGAAAATTTATTATTATTGAATTCCTTTTTGCAAATTAGTTGAACACAATACATCATGTATCTTATTTTTATTTTTCTTGTCAGATGTGAATTTTTAATAAAGTTGCTAAAAAATTACAGTACTATTGCCATTAGAATTATTTTAAAAAGAGAAAATCATTTATTATATAATTTTTGTTCTTCACAACTGGGCTGGTTTTGACACTTTAATACTATTCCAATTTATTGAGCTAAATGTGATGATTAGATGGAATATTTGATGAAGATGTTGTGCATGAAACGAATTTTGCAATTCACAATATTAATATGTGAAATTCAAATTAGTCAACCCCAAACACCCACTCCCAAAATTTTAATTATAGGTTTCAATAATGATTTCATCAGGATCCAAATGATCTTAAATCTATCTTTTAAAAGTAAAAAACCATTTGAAATAATAATTGACTAAACATTAAATTAAATTGATCCTAACTTCAAATATTTTTGAAAATATCATTTTCAGATCTTTTATTCCAATCATTTGACAGAGTTGTTTTAAAATGCGAAGACCTAGCTTTTAAAATTACAGGATAAAGTCTGACCTATTGTTAAATAATTTACAGGCTTACTTATAATGGTTTAACGGACTCATATTTTCTAGGGATGAAAATGAATTTTTAAAAAAAGTAACAAGAATTATTTTTTTTTCAATAGCATTAACTGGCAAATAAAGAGAAATACTATTATTTAATATTTTCAAAGTTTACAAAAAGCTATTTATTACATATAAATTGGTTCTTAAAACAACAATAAAATAAGTAATAATCTTTACATTTTGATTATTTTAATTTTTATCAATTATTTGAAAAACTTCCAATTCATCAAATTTACTCTTATGTACTATATTGATGTTATTATAAAACCTAGGTTCACTATTAATAGTACCAGCAGTATAAAAACCAAGATCATCTATTATCCACAAACCACCACCAAACACAGGTAAATAAGAAGGAGCACAATAAATTGCACAATTACTATGAATAGCATAACTAAATTGTGCAGTGTTAATATCATTTCTATTACTAACATTAAATATAAAACTGTCAGTTGTATTTTTATATTCACCCCATGTATTATTTCCATTCCAATTGAGGGGATTGTAACCTCCAACTATTTGATCTGAATTTTGTATTTTCCCAACTACAAGTGTTTTGTTGACATTATCACATTTTTGATGAAACATACTTTCATTTAAACCATCCCTACTACTGCAATATAAAAGTTTAAATTCATATTTTACTTCTTTGAATGAAGTGTATAATGAATTTTTTTTATCGATACAACTTGCAAAAAACAATGTAAGATTTTGATTAATTGTTGCTGATTCAAGTTCTGGAAATATTGATTTACTTTTTGGAATAATTCTTGATGGTAATAAATTTAAAGTTTGTTGTTCATCAGATACCACATAATAGTCTAAAAGTATTTCCCATAAATCCTTAGGAATAAGCTTCTTAAAAGGTATAATTTTGGAACGAAAATCTTTATTAGTGATATCTTTAAATCTGATCAATAAAATTAAATCTTTTAATGTGTTTCCCAAATCAATAAAATTTTGCTTTGTCCAAACTTTAACATAATTAATATTATTAATTTCTGGATGCTTGGCTAATCCCCATTTAAGAATTCCTTCCCAAATAATTATTTCATCAACATAAAAATCATCTCTTTCAAGTATAGCCAATAAAATTGGTTTTTCCAATAATTCAAATTCATTTGACTGGAATAATTTTTCACCATAATCACAAGATTTTTCTAAGCAAAGATTTTTCAATTCCTTAAATTGTTCATCATGAGAGTAGATTGATCTTAGGATGTTAATTGGATTTTCTTTAATATAATCCTCATGTTTTTTGATAAAGTACTTGATTGTGTATTCATAAAATGACTCAATACCAAGTTCATCAGCTGCAATCAATAATTGCAATATATCAACTCCAGTATAATTGTCTAATTCAATTTTACAAGTATATAAAAATCTTTTAAATATAAAATAAAAATATTATTTTATATTAATAAGAATAAGAAATAAAAAATAAAATTAAAAATAAAATAAAATAAAAAACATACTTAAGTATAGTTTTAAAAAACATTTCATTAAGATTTGCTTTTTTAACAATATAATAACCATTTTCTTTTCCTGCATTAGTTAATGCATTTTGAAAAAAAGGACAATGAGAACATATGATTGATGAATGTGCATGAAATTCTTTAATATTTGGTTCTATTCCGACATATATCTTTACATCATAAAAGTCTTCAGTATTTAATAATCTTTCATGCTCATTAAAATATTTTTCATATATTGCTGAATCCATTGTTTTAAAATTGTTTTGGCGAGAATATAAAATTTTAAATGAGAATCAAAAAAAGGAATTAAATTTTTTGTGATAGGTATTACCATTTACACGAAAAAAATATAGATTTGAAAATTTTCGCGTGAATTTGATACCTTTGAAAATAAAGAAGGTGTATTTTCTATGTAAACCTTATAAGCAATCAATACATGACAATAATTATATTTGATTTATTCCTTAGTTAAACTCTCTGACTTTAAATATGTTAAAAAACCTTGCTTCAAAAGGTTGAAGCTTACTTTACAAAATCACTTACAAAATCACCTGCACGTAAAAACAGATATTTGAGTCAACGGAATTCTTACGCTAAAAAAATGATCACATTACCTATTACCTATTGGAAGAGTAAAATTTTGATAATTCATAACAGAATACTAAAAATCTTACAGATTTCGTTTTTTAAAACTATACATATATATATATAAAATATACAAAAACATCAAATTTCATATGCACAACCATATGAATTATTACCTAGACTACAAAACAGTATTTTGCGCTCCAATGCTTCCTTTCAGGTACTGTATATCAATATTATCCAACATGTAAAAATTATTAGAGATTTTTTCTACACATGACTTCTTTTTTAGGGTTTCAGGTCTCAAATGGTGAGATCGAACCGATTAACATCCTTATTTTATCCCTTCCCCTCGCTAAATAGAGAAATTATTTGATGAAAACCAAATGCAATTCCATAATACTACTACCAAGAAAAATATGCCAACTACTATTACGCTAATTCCTTATAAACATAAAATTTACACCGTCAATAAGTTTAATAAATTGCATGTACTATAATAATGTAGTGCTGAGTTATAAATTGTAAACCTTTTACCAAAAAAAAAAAGTAAAGGAACAAAATCGTTGATCAACAATTCAATCCATATTGTAATATATGTCACGCACCCAATGATATATTTATTCAAAAAATATTTATTAACTATATACTAATTATTAATCTAATAATAATAATAATAAAAACTGCTATTACTATGCTATTCACAAAGGGTCAACAAATAATGGTGGTTTCTTGAGAAGTGGACTAAAGCACTAATAAATTACATTAAAAAAATTTTTAACCTAGTACTAATACTACTAATAATATTACACGAGTTGAATTAATTCTAACTTTAATTCTAAACCTAAATCCTAATTCTAAATTCTAAATTCTAATTCTAATATTCTAATCCTAATTCTATTTTTTTTTTTTTAATTCTAATACTAATTCTAATCATACTAATTCTATTTTTTTTTTAATACTATTTTTTTACATTTTCTTTTTTTCTTTTTAAATAACTACCACTACTAGATTTTAGTCCACCTCACCACCAAAAACCTTTATCCAGTCCGTACCGTGAGTCTTCTGCCTTCCATGTCAAGTAAAAGAGCTATTTGAGAAGAAGAAAAGGAGATGACGACAAAATGATAAAGGTGATATAATGAAGGTTATAAAAAAGATGATAATAAACAATTATCTCCATAAATTAATAATTATTTACCAACTATCTGGATAAAAATCACAAACACCAAATAAAAAAAACCAAAATTGCCTCTCCTCATCGACTCAACATTTATCTTTTCTCAAGTCGGCACTAACCAAGAACTTTCCCTTTTTTTTTTTTGAGATTAACGTGCGCTCATACAAATTAAAAGTTGTCTAACTTCAAAATTCCCATAAAAGAAAAAAATAAGATCATTATAATTAACACAATGTTATAATCAATCAACCAACTATTGTTAAATATATTTGATTGATTATTTATTTACCTGGCGCGTATAAAAAGTCAGCATAAACCTCAACAAAGGAAAATAAAAAGCGGATCAGAAAGGAAGTGGATATGAAAGTGGAGGAATCAAAGTGGAAATATGAAAAGAAGAGAAGAAGACGGAGAGAAACGGAGGCGAATATGAAGGTGGAAGTGAAGATGGAGGTAAATGTCAAAGTGAAGATGGAGATGAAAAATGAAAGTGAAAATGTAGGAAGAAAATGGAGGTGGAAGTGGAGATGGAGATAGATATGAAAGTGAAGGGGAAGGTAAAGATGAAATAAAGCGCGGATGGTGTGCAAAATAAAAGAGGAGATGGTGGTAGAAATGAAGATGGTGGAAGTGAAGCTATGCTATAACTTTTAAATGACTATTAAGGAAATGATGAAATGCTAACTAAACCCGTCTAATAAAATATGTAAATTAAATTACAATTAATTAATTCTATCAATTTTAATGTCAAGAGCAAATTATTATTCACATACTTTTTACTTTCTGACAACATTATCCACAAACCAATCTACTATTTCCAGATAGTATTCCACCTATGATTAATTAGCAATGATAATATAACAATATATTTAATATATCAATTTCAAACATATTGATTTATCAATAGAATTTGTATATATCATTAGTATTATTTAATATGATACTTACTGCGATGTAAACGCTTTTATTCTATAGGCCAAAGTTGGGTAACGCCTCGCAACAAAACCTCAGGAAGAGGCAGCTGTTTGCAGTTCTGTTGGAGGCAATTGAGAGGGCAACCAAACAGCACACAAAACCCAACATTGGCTGGCAGCAGAGTTTCTCTTTTTTACTTTACGTAACCTTTTATAAAAATAAGAAATGAATAAATAACAACAAAATAAAACATGAAATAGTTACCAGAATGAGTAAATTTTTGGTTATTATTACCTTTATAATAATAATAATAAATGATTAAGTTGATGGCATAATGGAAGGTCTTGCCGTCGAAAGCCTCAAAGATTCTTGCTGTTTCTAGAGTCTATATAGAGAGAAAAATAATAATAATATGAGTAAACATATTATTTATTATTATTTATGAAATAGGGGTAAAAGTAAACAATATATTATTAATCAAATCCACCAAGGAAATCATCATTTACATCATTAATAATTTTTCGCGTATCAAAATCCTTATTGGCTAATTGATAATATCTTTTATATCTTTTATAAAGAAAGATTTTTGTATTTTTTTGTAACGATATTCGTGTCTTTACTATTAAACTTACCTTGACTTCATAAATCATTAAATTTTTTAGATAAAAACGCGTTATTTTATTTGTTATCAAATAAGATAAATGAAGATACATTATGCTTTGTATTTTTTAGGGACAATCGAATCAAAAATATACAATAAAGGGAGTGATACAAGAGGGCGGGCGGGAAATTGATCACCTGAGGAATAGATAATTTTGGTAAGCTGATAATAGTTGGTGGATGGATGGCTTTGCTATCATTCATACATTGCAAGACAACTCCTTGTAGATCTCCTAATTCCTCTAAAAATGGATCTTTTCAATGTACTATATAATTCAATGATTCAAATTTATGCTAATCCTAAAATTGATGTCAATATTAAACATAAATTTAGCAGGTTTTCAATTAACTCATCATTGTCATTATTGACACTATAAATACTTTTATCGACACCTTTAACATCATTAACGTCATCAGCACAATAAAATTTAAAGACATTCTCTCAAAATCAGCGCCGTCGCGCAGTAAGAATTGTCCTGCGCGGTCGTACGTTTAGATTCCCTGTCTTCCAATCCACCATTTTGTATCTATTGCGCACTTTTTACTAGAAAATAAAGGAGTATTTTCGAAAGAACAAATATTGCTATACGTGATGAGCCATCTGATAAAGAAAAAAGATTGATTTTTAAAACCTTGTTAATGCAATAAACTCCTAATGCTAAGTTTAAAATCTTTAATAATAGATCGATGGTGAGAAAGAATCAATATGGAATACAAATTTAATTAAGATTACCAATTACTATTACATTTGAAGTTGGGAATAATAAATACTGTGTATCCTTAAACTTTCTGAATTCCCTAGACAGATATCCAAAGCTCAATATCGTCGATAAAACAGTAAAAACTAAGCCAAGATATACAGTCAAATCTTGTTTCAACGAATTACAATTAAATTTACGTTACAACGAATTTTTATGTTTGAATGCATCACATATAATAATAAAATTTGTTTGAATGCAATTTGTATTAGTAATTTTGGTATAACGAATATTTTTCTTGTGTATCTCATAGATGCGTTGGAACAAAATTTAACTATATGTATAATCTGTATAAATTATTGACAAAAGCAGAATATGCAGATAATCTACATATTAATATATATTTTTTTATCATTCTCCTGATGCTCCTAAACTTAAATAATAATTTCGGATAGTTTCAATTTCAGTTTCAGGTCACGATATTCAGGATAATGCAACATTTTTCCCTGATAATTATTAGAATTATTTTATTAAAGAATTTGATAAGAAAGAAAATTTCGCGTCATAAGTTGTTAACAAAGTAATTAGTCTGATAAAATTAAATGAATCTTTATTTATTAGTGCTAGGACTATGGTGAATATATTAATAATAACAAGTGTAAATATGTTGATAAAAAAACTACATTTCTATTATTATTAAATCTAATAATTTATTCTCGTGATTTATTTGTAATGACTAGTTATACAAGAAAATGAATCAACGTATTCTACAGCATCGAGAGTGAGCTTGCGAGCATGAAGCAATGGATAATTAAAGAGCCAATGGAAATAGTGTTTCAATCCTTTTTGAATGCATTTATTGCAAGTTAGTTTGTCTGGTAGAATGAGTTTGTCGTTGGCAATTGTGTGGATAAGTCGGAGATCAAACGAAATATCTATTAAACGTGGGAATGATAAATATTGATATTCCAACTTAATAAAGAATTCTTTCAAGAATTTAAGAATGCAAAAGTCTATTATTATATAATGAATTAATGAATTAAGTAGATTATTAATTAGTATTAAATCAATATCTCCCTATAATAACGATAAATGATAACAAAAAAAAATTTACCATTTCCGTCACGTGTGCAAAGGGCTTTTCTGTCGGGAATTCCAAAGTAGAATGCATAATAAACATAATGAGCCAAGAATGTGGTATCTTTACTGCCATATACTGAATCGACAAAAAACTGAGCATTGGGAATTGAAGTCTTTAATTCCTTTGGGCAGGCTGCTTCAAGTTCGCGAAGATGACCTTGGAGATGTGCCGGATCAGCCACCGATGGTATAGCACAAAAGTCTTTAATTCCTTCTTTCACGGTATCAAAATATAAACTAGTGTTATGGCTTTTCTCAAAGAGGTTGTGAATTATATTTGCAAGTTTAATTGATGATGCATATTCGTCAGGTTGATGAAATTTTTGCCAGAGTGCCTTTTGACATTTAGAGCATGAAGAAACTCCATAAAAGGGTTCACAAGTGTGTGTAACTGCCCAAGAATTTACAACTGATGTATTAATCGTGACGATAGTGAATACAATCAATAAAAATAAAAATGATGATTTCATATTTATTTATTTATTATGATGATTATTATTTTTGAGTTTATCGGCTTAATAGATCAAAAAGAAGAAGAAATTATTCACAAATCAGATCGATAAGAAATTTGAAAAGGGCCAAAAACCGTCATATTTATATGAAAACAAAATTTATTTTCTTGATATGTATATGGATAGAAAAGAGAGGAGAACCTAATAATAATATTGTGTGCGTGCATTGCATCATCTCTTTTTCATAGGAGGGAAGGAACAATTAGTGTAAATGAGGAAGGAGAGAAAATGGTGGTTGTGAAAGACAAATTAATTATAATGTTTGTTATTAATCATTATATTCGACGTTATTGCCATAAAAAAATTTTTATAGAAAATAAAATATTCCTACAGCTAACTGGTCTGGTTTGAATTATTTTGTTTGATTGGCTAAAATTTTTTTATACTTTAAGTCATACATGTAGTAAATCGGTTTAATTTGGTTAAAAATTCAAATTTAATGATAATCCTAATTTAGTAACTATTAAATAATTAAAACAATGTGCCCGCATACACACCCACATTAATACATGTTATAGTAGCATATCTTTAAGGGTTGGTTATTCTCTCGTGAATAAATGACTAAAAGCTGACGATGATATTTCATTTTCACGTATAACAACATAAAATTTGCTTGTTTAAAAGGCGTATATATATCTTTTAAGATCCTAAACAATCATAAACAATCCTGCACAATCTGCATTAACTTTTGTCACGTAGAAAACTAAATAGAAAGCAAACAATGCTTGGAAACGATGTCGCTTTTTAACATCAGTAAATATTTTTAGTTTTTTTTTTATGTATACGAGTCCTTAAATTTGTTGGACAGATCCTTTGACATAAAATTTACAAAGATTCTCAAGAAATCCTATACAATTAGGTCAAATAAAAATGACGACAGTAGAAGCCAAATTATGCTTAAAATATACTCTTTTTTTCAGTCACACGAAGTTAATTTTTGTTTACGCGCTTTAGTGTCAAAAAGAAAATTTTCAAAAATGCTGTTTCTTTTTTGGATCGATAAAGAAAAATATAATCTTTAAAAAGGTAGGTAGGTGCTTTTGAAAATATACAAGTTCAAATATAATAAGTATCTTAAAGTCTTTGGAGTATTGTTGTATCATTATTTAAAAAAGAATAGAGGTATTAATAAGAATCCTTAAGTAATACAACTAGAACTGTTGGTCTATTTCATTTCGTTCATTAAAAAGATTATCATTAATGCAGATTACTAACATTGTATTAATATTGGTTTTATTCAAAAAAAAAACGGATCTATAGTTAAACGACTAATTGTTGTTACGCGACCATCAAAGAAAAACAATCATTAAAATACCCTAGTTGATATATATTTATTACTAATGGCAACGGATACTATTATTAATACTAATTCCTATTGAATATATAACATTGTATTAATATTAACATTTGCTTTCGAAAACGGATCTACGGTTAAATAATTAATTATTGTTATATATACGACCATCAAAGGAAAAATATATATCAAAATACCCTGTCGATATTACTAGTGACAATAGGTAATTATTGTAGTATTAATTCTTCCATGGTTGAATGACGGATGATTGTTACGTGCCATCAAAATTATTCTCGTCAATGTTACTAATGGCAATCGTTTTACAGTATTTGAAAAACCATTGTAAAAACGGTTGTTATGCTTCACAATGTGAAACCTGTATGAATTACGTTTTTTCTACCAGTGCTTATGCCTTTTTTGTTACATAATTTTCGTTCTTTACTCCGGTTTTTAACTTTGCCTAAATTATTAACAGTCTCTATACAAAACCTAAACTACACTAAATTGGTTGTCGCAATATTAGACATTGTACTTTCAAATCATATTGATCTAGCTCTTGCTAATTCAGCACTAAGTTTTCTCAAAACTCTTCCAGTTTCATATCAAATGATTCTTTTGGAGCTTTCTTTAGTAAATATATGGTAACTAGACCTGATTATGTGGATTTGTTTTTGGTGCGGCTTCTAAATTTATTCAATTCTATAAATAGAACAGTGGCAATGTATTACCTGCATCGCTATTATTATTACTATTAACTTTCTTTTTTTTTTTTTGCTACTAGGAGTGATGAAATTTCAGATGCTTCGTCATCATTGTATGCATTTTAAAATTAACGCAATTTTGATGAATGTGTATTTTAAAGCACCACCATTTTTCACTGCAACGCTTACATACTGCTCTTGTATTAGTTTCATTATTAGAATTGTTTATTAAAATAAAAATTCTCTGTAAAAATGTGGATTAGGCATATTTTATTAGGTATTAAATTTTTTTTTTAATTGCTTCGGGCAGAGTGATATTTTTTCTCTGGAAGTTTTAGCATTAGTTGACATTCTGTTAATTCAGATTGGTTAATCAATGGCAAACGACAAATAACTGATGATAATAGTATATGGTCATAGTCATAAACATTTCATATATAGAAATTTAATAAAAGCAGTGTTGGTAATGACGGTTATTCAATTTTTGGACAAAAAAAAAAATTAAATAAAATCACATGACATAAGTAGATTAATTGTTGATCCGTAGTCGGCAGTAAAAATTTATAAAATTTTTGGGTTAAAGTTTGACGATCTACTATTACCCATGATAATTTGCCCAACTGTTTAAAGTATGCTCCAGTTGCATATGAATTTTGTGGAAAAATACATGATTATTATATAATCAGGGCATTGCCTAATTCATGATCGCCTTTTAAAACAATTTAACAAAGTAAACCTTTTTGTTTACATTGGCATATCTCCTTACCAGTCAATATCTTATTAAATTTGCATCACATGACATATCATTATTTTTCAGATTTTTATGATGTAGAAATTGAAGTTGGAGTGGACCAACTTTTAAAGACTCATTTTATAGTTTTAAAAACTAGGTCTTCATGCTATAAAGCAACTTTATCAAATAATTTGAATAAAGATCTGAGGATGGTACAGTTTTATTTGAAAATGATACCATATCAAATATTTGAAGTTGGGATAATTTTTTATAACAAAAATAATTTCATTGCAAGATTATTGGGAAGAATAACACTAATGAATTAATTGTATTCTCTTAAGGCTAAAAAAAACTTCATTTGATAAACTTTGGAGTGAGAAATTACATTCAGCAGTAATAAGTGTTTTATTTTGTATGTTACATTCACCATGCAAAGAAGCATTTGTGGAGTACTTTTGGTGTTTCTTGTCTCTCCCCTTTTAATAATAACTGGAAAAAAGATCAATTGTACATGCTTATTATTAATCCACATAATGATTGTTGTCATCATTTCTAACTACCTTTTGAAAGGAGGTATAAAATAATTAAGAAGTAAATAATTTATATCCATTTATTAAATTTTTTCTTGTAGATAGGTAAATAAATATCCCGCATATCAATAAAGAGCAAAAAGTAGAAAATTGTTGAACATGCAGTTTGAAAAAATTTTAAAAAGCAAATTAATGTTTTATTGCAAAGCAGATTTAAAATATTTTTGATACAAAGGCTCTTTATTGATTTAATATTTATGGCTAAATAAGAAAGCAAATCAGCATTTTCAACAATTATGAGCATATGGAATATATCCAATTTAGGTTTTTAATACTAAAGCCTTGAAATCTGTAAGAAAATCAGTATACAGGAAAGCTTTCAATTGAAAGGTTTAATTACTTTTTGACATGTTCTCAAAAAGCTCTGGAAATTCAAACTGATTTTTACAACTCTGCACCTGGCTGTGTGCTGATAATTAATCTAAGTTAGGTAGTAAATCATTTTTCTTTAACTTTTTTGGGTTCTTTTATTAATTATCTTGTAAATTTCTGATCCTTTCTTTCCTTAGATATGCTTCAAGAATCTGAGCATCATTTATTTGATCTTCAAAACACACCTAATTCTTGAGCTCTGACATAAATGAGGTTCTTTTTTATTTATAAGATTAGTTTATTCATACTAATACTAATGAGACATTAATATCATTTAATAATTTAATTCCAAAATTACCAGTCATCTTTACTTTGCCGACAGTTTATTTCATCAACAGTTATTTCATCAACAGTTCATTTTGTTGACAATTAGTTTACATGTGATGATAGTGATGGTGATGATATTGTCACTGACTATTTTGGTGATTATAATAATTGAATTATTGTTTTTAATAGTGTGAATCAGACAAATTGGCAATATGCTAATGAATAGTAATTGAGATTTCATTTGAATCAAAACTCAGGAAATATTTATCAAGATGCATGAAATTCAGTCATTAATATACTTGCAAACTAATTAGTATCTAAATTTTTTGATGCTTCTGAAATCATGATCCTAGATTCAATCAGGATTTACAACTAAACAAATTATATTAATAATTATAATCAATGTATATGTTATGCTAATATCATATGAACTGTCAACAAAATGACTGTTGATGAAATAATTGTCAACAAAATAAACTGTCAATGAAATGAACTGTCAATGAAGTGAATTAATTGTCGATCAGACCCGAAATTATTAATCTTATTTTAAAATATGAAACCTTGCTTTTCAAAATGCTAGAATGAGCTTTAAAATTTTGACATCTTCATCTACTCCGACTCTAATTTCTACACCATAAAAATCTGATTCAATTCAATAACTTTTTTAAATCATTTACAAATTTACTAATGTATTTTAACACAAAAAAAAGATTTAACATTTGCCGTGTCACGATCTCCTTCCAAAACTCGCAAGTCGTGCGACTTCC